CCCCATTTTTCCCCCTTTTCCCCGGGCAGGGGCCACACGGTGCGGGCGGTGAGCGAGAGCTTCCAGCTGGCCAAGGACTGCGGCTTCAAGGTGGTGGCGCACATGATGCCCGACCTGCCCAACGTGGGGCTGGAGCGCGACCTGCACCAGTTCAGCGTGAGTCATTCATTAAAAACACAGTAATTAAAAACACGGTAATTAATTAAAGGTGGCGCACATGATGCCCGACCTGCCCAACGTGGGGCTGGAGCGCGACCTGCACCAGTTCAGCGTGAGTGCTCGTTAAAAACGCGGTAATTAAAAACACGGTAATTAAAGGTGGCGCCCAACGTGGGGCTGGAGCGCGACCTGCACCAGTTCAGTGTGAGTCATTCATTAAAAACACAGTAATTAAAAACACGGTAATTAAAGGTGACACCCAACGTGGGGCTGGAGCGCGACCTGCACCAGTTCAGTGTGAGTGCTCGTTAAAAACGCGGTAATTAAAAACACATTAAATAAAGGTGGCGCCCAACATGGGGCTGGAGCGCGACCTGCACCAGTTCAGCCTGAGTGCTCGTTAAAAACGCGGTAATTAAAAACACGGTAATTAAAGGTGGCGCCCAACATGGGGCTGGAGCGCGACCTGCACCAGTTCAGCGTGAGTGCTCGTTAAAAACGCGGTAATTAAAAACACGGTAATTAAAGGTGGCGCACATGATGCCCGACCTGCCCAACGTGGGGCTGGAGCGCGACCTGCACCAGTTCAGCGTGAGTCATTCATTAAAAACACCTTCGTTAAAAACACGTTAATTAAAGGTGGCGCCCAATGTTGGGCTGGAGCGCGACCTGCACCAGTTCAGCGTGAGTGCTCGTTAAAAACACGTTAATTAATTAAAGGTGGCGCACATGATGCCCGACCTGCCCAATGTGGGGCTGGAGCGCGACCTGCACCAGTTCAGCGTGAGTGCTCGTTAAAAACGCGTTAATTAATTAAAGGTGGCGCACATGATGCCCGACCTGCCCAACGTGGGGCTGGAGCGTGACCTGCATCAGTTCAGCGTGAGTGCTCGTTAAAAACGCGGTAATTAAAAACACGGTAATTAAAAACACGTTAATTAAAGGCGGCGCACATGATGCCCGACCTGCCCAACGTGGGGCTGGAGCGCGACCTGCACCAGTTCAGCGTGAGTGCTCGTTAAAAACGCGGTAATTAATTAAAGGTGGCGCACATGATGCCCGACCTGCCCAACGTGGGGCTGGAGCACGACCTGCACCAGTTCAGCCTGAGTGCTCGTTAAAAACGCGTTAATTAAAAACACGGTAATTAAAGGTGGCTCCCAACGTGGGGCTGGAGCGCGACCTGCACCAGTTCAGCCTGAGTGCTCGTTAAAAACACGGTAATTAAAAACACGGTAATTAAAAACACGGTAATTAAAGGTGGCGCACATGATGCCCGACCTGCCCAACGTGGGGCTGGAGCGCGACCTGCACCAGTTCAGTGTGAGTCATTCATTAAAAACACAGTAATTAAAAACACGGTAATTAAAGGTGGCGCCCAAAGTTGGGCTGGAGCGCGACCTGCACCAGTTCAGCCTGAGTGCTCGTTACAAACGCGTTAATTAATTAAAGGTGGCGCACATGATGCCCGACCTGCCCAACGTGGGGCTGGAGCGCGACCTGCACCAGTTCAGCCTGAGTGCTCATTACAAACGCGTTAATTAATTAATTAAAGGTGGCGCACATGATGCCCGACCTGCACCAGTTCAGCGTGCGTGCTCGTTACAAACGCCGTCGTTAAAAACGCGTTAATTAAAGGGATCAAACCGGTTGGTGGTGTTGAGTAGGAGATTATTTGTGTCAGGTGGTTACATTGGATATGGCATGAATTACTGCACTTAAACGCCGCTTAGTTGTGGTAAAGTGTTACATAAATGGAATTATTAATTGTAATAATATTAATAACAACAACAATAACAATAATAATAATATTTATTAAATAATTTGTATTAAGTTTTTAAATATATACAATTTTTAATACTACTACTACTACTACTATTACTACTACTACTACTAATAATAATATTTATTATTAAATAATTTGTATTAAATTATTAAATATAATTTTTAATACTACTACTAGTAATAATAATAATAATTAAATAATTTGTATTATGTTATTAAATAAATACAATTTTTAATACTACTACTACTACTACTTCTACTACCACTACTACTACTACTACTACTAATAATAATAATAATAATATTTATTATTAAATAATTTGTATTACGTTATTATATAAATACAATTTTTAATACTACTACTACTAGTAATAATAATAATAATTATTATTAAATAATTTGTATTAAATTATTAAATAAACACAATTTTTACTACTACTACTACTACTAATAATAATTTTTATTATTAAATAATTTGTATTAAGTTATTAAATAAACACAATTTTTACTACTACTACTACTACTACTAATAATAATAATAATTATTATTATTATTATTAAATAATTTGTATTAAGTTATTAAATAAACAATTTTTACTACTACTACTACTACTAATAATAATTTATTATTATTATTGTTGTTGTTGTTGTTTTGTTGTTGTTGTTGTTATTGTTATTATTATATTTATTATAAAATAATTTGTATTAAATTATTCCCTGGGAATGTGGGACTCCAGGAAGGGTTGCCCCGGAATTTCCATCCCCAAATTCCATCAAAATCCCTCGGGATGGATCCCGAGCCTCCCGGATCCCGAAATCCCGGAATTCTTTGGGATGGGATCCATGGAATTTCACAGAGCTGAAATAAATCTGGGAAAATTTCAAAAAAAACCAGGGAGGAGAGGCAGAAAATTGGGAATTTGAAGCATCAGATGGAAAAAAATTATTTTTTTCCCCTTTGAGGAAATGCTTTGTGTCCATCTAAAGCCTCACTTAAATAAAATAAATATATTTATAATAGGAATATTTAAATATTTAAATAAATAGTGAAATGTAAAATAAAAAAATAAATAAAATTATGGCAGGGCCGTTTCATGGGGATGAGATTTTAGCGAAGGAGATTTTTTTAGATTTTATTTTGGATTCCCATCTGCAGAGCCGCTCCTGCGTTCTTTAAATAAAACAAAATTACTGAATGAGCTCAGCCTGAAAATTCCTGCTCTTAGTCATGCCTCAAGATGGGATTTATATATATATATATTTATTTTTTTTTATTTTTATTCTGGAGGAATTGCAAAAGAAGCAATTTGCCCAAAATGAGCTAATTTTAGTGGCAGCCTTGATGCATCTGGGATGGGAACGACGCTGAAAATGAGGGGGAAAATTGGGAGAAAAAATCGGGGGGGAAAATGAGGAGGAAATTATTTGAAAATTAAAAATTGGGAGAAAAAATCGGGGGGAAAATGAGGGGGAAA